TGATAAAAAGATGCAATCTGGTACAAGAACTAAACTTTCCATGCCCAATGCTGTGACAATAAAATCATTTCAAGGTTCAATCAGGAGTGTATAATACAGGGTGGGAATACATTAAATATTGCTAAACATTTTTTGTATGCATCATTCTCGACAATTTAATCTCGAATTATGAAATTTCACACCTCTTTACAAAATAAAGATACTCTTGTTTTATGACGATAAGATGTATTATTATAGAGTAAAACCAATTCGGAAATATTATTACATCTTAGATATTATGCATAACATTGCAATGAGGTTGTAGTGGAAATGAAAAAAAAATGCACAAAAATTGAATTATTTTTTTTATCATCCTTTTTGAATGTTTCGCGCTTCCATGAGATTGTTTGGTGAAAAGAAAGTACTTGATTTTTTTATAGCCTTCATGTGAAACGGTGTGGATTTTCATAATCCGAGATCAAATTGTCAAAAAATATGCATTCGAAAGAGTTTGATTAATATTTAACGTAGTCCCACCCTGTATTTTACATTCCTGAATGGAACTTTGAAATGATTTTATTTTCACCGCATTGGGCATGGAAAGTTTAGTTCTTGTACCACGTAGCGTTTCGGAAATATTCAAGAAATATCTTCTTCAGGAGCCCCCCTTCAGAGGGGCGTAGCTCCCTTAGGAGAAATTTCTCGACTCATGTTTATTGGAACTTTTTTCCCTATTTTTGGTCGAAGAAGCCCCTGGTGAAGTTTGGCAGACTAATTTCGGGACACCCTGTATACTCATTACATAGCCTCGAAAGAAAAACACTCTATAACAATAGTAAAAAATGTATCGAAAATCCATTGGTATGAGACCAGGCAACAACAGGATTTGCATTCACCAAAAAATTTTTAATGTTGGCCAAGAATCACTATATCATGATGGACTAAAAATATATAGTAGCATTCTTTTAGATATAAGACTTTCAAAGGAGCCTAGTTCAAAAGCAAAATTGAAACAGTATTTTATGACCAATTAGGCGATATTAGGTATATGTATAGGTACTCAATTAATTATTAACGAATGTATTCCCTGGTACCTTAATTCATAATTCATCCTAATTCATCCTAATTCATATGCTTTATTTTTTTTTCAGACTTTCTTTTCTTATCATAAGAATACATGATTCTTCTTGGAATAAAAAAATATTTTCTTCATTCAAAAAAGTATAATAATTAGTATTGATTGACCATTAGCGATTTGAAACGCTACTTGAAATTTTGGCTGCTTTCTCACTGACCTGTTCTTGAAAGTTTAAGAGTTATTTCGAGTATTGCTTATATACAACCATGCGATATTTTCAGAAATCTGACCGATCATCCCATTACATCAATGGAAAATATAAAATCCAATTCTAATGATGAAGTTTTGGACTGTGGTAAGCCAGTGAATTTCACCTACTTTGACAACTTAGTAGGTGTTTTGAACAGACATAGACATCCGATTGTCCCTGAACCTCAAGCAGTCCTATGTTTTACCAAAAGTTATGGAAAGAATAAAAACGAAATTGATGATTTCGACATAGATACATTGGAGAAGAATCTGAAGAAAGCTAAGAAGGAGGTAATTGATTGGTTAGTTTTTGAATCTTTGTATACAAAAATAGTTATTTGTATTCCTAAACCGCCAAATACCTTTTTGGGGTGCCGAAAAAAAAGTTATCGCCGAGGCTGACTCATGCCGAGGCAAGATAACCTTGAGGTCGTCAAGTTTCGCGGCTATGGTAAACACACTATTTTTGTGCAACTAGTTCTATGCCTGACTACCTGCAGACCGGTCTGCAGGTAGTCACGCGTTCCTGAACCACTTAGACGCAGCTCGGCGTTTAGGAAGGAAACACTTTATTCGTCTATACGAATTATTGCATAGATTTTGAGAGGATGTTCTGCGTAGCATATAGTCAGAAAATTTGTTGTTTTTCTCTCGTTATCTACCAAGTTCGTTCATTTATCATCATTTGTGGAAATGACTGAGTTTCGCGTATTTATTCAACGTTTTATCAAACTTTGAGCATTTGGGCTTCTTCTTAGTATACAGAATATTTTGACAGCTCTTGACAATACTGTTCGGATTTTTTTCAAAAAAGCTTTTATGTTAGAAATATTTTCTTTGTTTTAAACGATGCATTTTATCAACGAATAATTAGATAATATTGAATGGTGGGGATATTTCTTGATAATGTGAGAGCGTTCGAATACAAAAACGCAAAAAGGGGTATATACATAATGATATAAAAATCTTTTTGAGATTCAGTGGAGAGAAACATATCTCTCTTCAGATGAAACATGGTTTTCTTAATTCCATAGATGAAATTATAGAGTTCCATACCATAAACACGAAGTTTGATGTCTGGTTCAAAAATGGTTTAAAAACTTTACAAATCTATGAGTCCGTATCATAAAGATATAACGACTATGAGGCAGGATGCTTACATCGTGAGAATCATTCGTGGAAGGCATACTTGGACAGCTAGGAAAGTTAACAATGTACTGGTACGGCGCTGATGTCCAAATCTCTGACCAGACAGTCAGAAGAAGGCTGCATGAATCCAATCTTCGAACTAGAGGACGTGCTGCTTGTCCACTGCTTAAAGAACGACGAATATGGGCTCATGATCACCAAGAATGGGGAGTGAAAGAGTGGAGTAGATGAATGTTTTCTGATGAGAGTAGGTTCAATCTGTATGGTCAGATGGAAGAGTTTCAGATTTGTGAAAGAGCAAGGGTGGCTTTTGAAGGTGGAGAAGTGACTGTGGTACCCAGAACAAAATAATTATGAATGCACTAAAATATAGATATTTGCATATGAGAGATGTTGTGGTCAACAATTTTATTTTCGTGGATGACAATGCTCGTCCGTATCGGGCTCGCATTATTGACGATTTTTTGCGTGATAGAGATATTGAGGGAATGAATTGGAACTCGTAATTGAATGAAATTGAGATTGAAAGAAGGAGAATGATAAATGGAGAATTTGAATAATTTGGCGAGTTGGGGAAGAATGATAAGCTATTCCCCAGGGCTTCATCGGGCATTTGGTTGATGGAATTCCGAGAAGACTAGAGACTTCTGTACAGGCAAGGTGAGGCACTGGCACTACCAAATAACGACTTTGATTTTCTTGGCTGCACTCGCTCAATTCACTCTCGATAACCCAAAACAATCTCACGAACACGAGTCTTCAAATTCTTCCACGGGAGAATTCAATTTATCGAAAATGAACAATTCTCGAGATACTATATGCTCAAAGTCTAAAATGGAAGAGAGAGATATTAAGTCCACCTTCGTTCACAAGAGGATTCTTTATCACGTGACTTCTATCAATCCATTCTGTCTAATGGACACATCTGTAATTACACCTGTTGAATTTTATGAGCAAAGGTTTCTACCAATACTGACTACCTATTTAATGAATTCATCCTCGTACTAATTGACGTCATTCTGATTCAATCCTAGGATTCTAATCACCATTATCAGAGTAGAATGAAGAGAACTGAAAGTACTGTTTAATGTTCGTGATAATTACAACAGATGGCGTTACCGATATCGAATTATTATGATATATCAATAACTGTTGATAATATTCATTATAAATAATTTTTTTTATCGAATAGTAATACTGAAAATTTTGATAAAAAACTGATATATTCACTAAAAGGTCAAATGCGTTGGGTCTGAACTTCATCTAAAAGTATATGGTATTCATTTCATTTGAAACTGCCAACCCTGCAATATATCTGCAATTTGAGTGGCAGTAAGTATATGACTGAAGTCCTGAAATGTAAAGAATAATTTCGATTTACTACCTGAAAAGAAAGAGAGTTTCCATATCCCTAGTAAATTATAGCATTTACCAGACTGAAATTACTCACTCTGCAGCATATCTGTATTAGTGGTAGGGAAAACAGTTACAAACTTTGTTTTACTACATGAGAAAGAACAGAGTTTTCATGTACTTAGTCAATTATAGCATTAACCAAACTGAAACTACCACTCTGCTAGTCATAAGCCTCATATGAGTGGTAGGGAAATGTGTACCTGGTGAGGGTCAGCACCGTTCCCCAGACTCACAGGCGTTCAGTCCTTCCACGAAAAGTTGGCCAGGGCCATCCTTTCTCTTCAAGATGACATATGCAGTGCCATTGACCATTCCTGAACCACTCGTCCCCAACTTTTTATAGAAGCAACAGAACTGCCACAACTCCAAGAAAGGGCACCGAGCCGCACAAGGCAACAGGTGGAACAAAAATAGCAAGATAAGTAAACTACAAACAGAAAACCAAATGCCACCTTACAAATGGAGTAGAAATAGTCCTACCAGCTGAAACGACTGGAGAAGCCAGTCGGGAACAAAAACTCGGGGAGTGATCCCGTTGATAACACTGTGGGCCGTCTGTTGGGAATAGAATTTTAATATGGTCTTCTCTGAATATTGTTAGATTTTCTATAGTTACAAGGAGTTGTAAAACAGTAGACATGTCAGATGGAAAATAAATTTGTCAAACAAAAGTCATTATTTTTGCAATTATTATAATACAATTCAGATAGGTTTCTTGAACCTTACATACATTATTATTATTCTACATTTGGCGACCGTGACATCGAATATGGAAGCCTATCAAATCAGAAGAGACCAGCTGAGAAAACATATTGACAAAACTTGCATGGATATAAATAACGTTTTGTCACAAGAAAATCCAGCTAAAGATAAAGTCATTGTGCTAATCCGACTTCTAGAAGATAAATGCGATCGACTCTTCAGCATAGATGATAATATTGGACAAGTATTCTTCAGTCAAGAGCTCAGAAAAGAAGAAATTGAGAAAGAGTTAGACGATGTGGAAAGCTACAGAGATAAGATCACCAGCATTCGTTCTAAGTGCGACGCGTTTTTGAAAGATGAGTTTCTCCTAAAGGAAGATCAAGAAAGCTGCTCACAGAGTTCTCATGGAGAAAGAAACAGAAGAAGAAAATTCGTCTTACCAAAGCTGGAGTTGAAGAAATTCAATGGAGATGTGAAGAATTGGTTAGGTTTTTGGGGGCAATTCAAGAAAATCGACGAAGATGAGGATATTGATTTGGATGACAAGTTCCAATACCTACTTCAGGCAACTGAACCAAAATCTTCAGCACGGGAACTTGTCGAAAGTTTTCCTCCAGCAGGTGCTAACTACAAGAAAGCCTTTCTATAGCCTGATGTTCCTTCAAGATTGGTCTTTGACCGTTCTAATAAATGTTATGGAGATGACTTTGGGTTTTCATCTATGTAATAAATATAATTTTCTTGATCCAGAAGAACTTCTTCAGTGTTGCAATTTCTAGTGATTCGAATACCTAGGCAGTAGTGTACTTCTCCAAGGTCCTTCATATCATACCTCTTCATCAGTTCCTTCTTCAGCCAGCAAGTAAGATTCTTGTTGTGGGAGAAATGAAATTCAGCTTGTTTAAGCACTATTCTTTGCATTTTCTCATCGAGTTTTTTATTCCACAAACGACTAGACTGCTTTAGTCCATACAAGGCTTCATTCAATTTACATACTTCAAATCTAAAGACTTCACAAACTGGAGCATATCGTATTCCTCTGATTGAAGTTTCAACAATTTCACCATCAACTAGAAGAAATATTGTCATCCCTCCTATTCCAGTTATTTTGAACTATTCACCTGATGCTGTTGTTAATAGTTCATTGGTATCTAGTGACTTGAAGTTTCTAAACCATTCCCTTTTTCCAGTGACATGAACAGAAGCACCTGAGTCCACATACCAGTCATTTATATTCAGATTTCCTACACCGAATATCGAAGAATGTATCATGAGACCAAATTCGGCTTTGCATTTTCTACCTTCTTGGTAGCTGGAACTCGACAATTCCTAGACTTGTGTCAGATTTTATTACATCGGAAACATTTTCGAGAGGATCTCTTGAAACGTTGATGTGGATTTCTCGTTATCAATGCAGTTTCTTTGCATACATTTTCAAACTTCATTGACTCTGCTGACAGTCGCTCTTTAACTAAATCTGTGGTCAGTTTTCCAATGCCATTATCAAAGGTTTATAATGATCAGGTAAACTAACGAATATGAGCGCTGCTAAGGCTCCGTCAATTTTGATTTTCTTGTTCAGGTAGTCATCCATACTTTGACAATCAGTATACTTGATCGTGACTAATTGCTCTATCAATACAGCAACTCTTGTTATATTCATTATTTTAGACATCAACTGTTAACCACACAGAATATAAAACAAAATGATGAACTTATAGAATCATACTATCGATGAATGACTTCTTCAACACCCCCACTTGACATGCTAAGAACTTTAAGACCCATTTGATCCCTACATCATATTTGCTTCTTCTTAACCACTGGTTTCGTCAAAGAATCTACCACCATATATTCAGTTGAAACTTTCAATACTTCTATCTTCTCTTCTTTTACAGCTTCTCTGATGAAATGGTGTTGAACATCTATGTGCTTAGTTCGAGAGTGATGGACAGAATTTTTAGACAATTCTATTGCACCCTTATTGTCACAGTAGATAGGAATTGAGTAGCCAGATTCAGTCAACTGTAGTTCTTGAATTATTGACTGCAACCACAAAGCCTCTTGTATTGCATGCGATAACGCAACATATTCTGCTTCCGTAGTTGATCTTACAACAGTTTGTTGCTCTACTGGACCAGCTGAATACTCCTCCAGCTAACTTGAAACAATACCCTGTTATAGATTTCCTATCATCTAGGTCATCTGCATATACATATCCATGGTTTGTGGAATTATTACTAGTTTTGTAACTCATGCAAGTATTCGTTGTGCCTCTTAAATATCTCATAATCCTTTTAACAGCTGCCCAGTGCTCTCGGCCAGGATTGGAATTGAATTTACTGAAAACCCCCACTGCTACTGATATATCAGGACGAGTTGATTGTGCTGCATACAGGAGACGGTCTATTGCCATCATATATGGAACAATCTTCATTTCTTCTTTCTCAGAATCACTTATTGGAGACATAGTCAGATTAAATCTTCTTCCTTTCCCCATTGGGGTAGAAACAGGAGTCGAATCACTCATGTTGAATCTCCTCAGAAGGTTGTTGATATAACTTCCTCTCCAGTTTTCAGTTCTCTGATTTCTGTATAAATATATATATATATGAGTTTTCACCAGATACAAGTGCTGCCTAAGCTTTTTTGTTCATCTTCTCGCTGGTTCTGCTGTCATCAACATAATCCCACAGCTCGCAATTCACAAGAAGGATTTCCATGCTGTATTTCCAATCAATATAATTGGCACTACCTTCTAGTTTCTCTAAGGATGCTGGAACTGCTGTACAACTCGTTCCTGACATTATGCAACTTCTCCAAAATGAATAATATGCTGCCCAATACACAATTTATATACAGTATGATGCAAATGTATGGAATAAATTTATTATTTCAGAAATGGGAGACATTTGAAAAAATTCCAAAAACACGTGAGGTTTCATTTTTGAAGCCTCATCTCATGATATCCATATGAGAGATGTTACGTCACCGGTGTTGGAGTAATGACGTAATGAACGATTTTTTTCAAATGAAAACAGGGTCATGTGACACCCCGTTTGAAAGGTCTACTGATCATCTATTCAACAGTCAAAATTTTGCATAAGAAAATTGAAATTAAAATGGATTATCATTTGATTAACTGAATCTTGCAGAGGTCTGCTACTAAGAATTGAACAACGAAGGGTCGTCTATTAAAAAAATACATCAATTAATAAAGTTCTGAAGTCTATTTTTTGGATTTTTTTCGGAAGTCGTCTTGTTTTGAAATGAATTTATTCCATTCATTTGCATGATACTGTATGTAAGACCTCTGGGCCCATAACCTTTTATATTTTTGGAGAAAAACTATAAAAACGGATTGACGTTTTTCAGATGACAAATTATATTAATTTTTTTAGACATCAACTGTTAACAACAGAATATAAAACAAAATGATGGACTCATAGAATCATACTATCGATGAATGACTTCTTCAACATATGCGGCGTCGAAAAGAGTATCCTACTGCTCTCAGTACTGCTGGTGTTATACTCCTGAGAGCATTTATGATCCTTTACTTTATATCATCAACTGTCGTTGGAGTATCTGTAAACACAATGTTCTTAACGTAGCCATATAAAAAGAAATCCATAATTGTTTAATCAGGGTATCTATCCATTTAGTGGGTCCGTTTCTTTCAATCCAGCGCAGTGGGTAGATATCATTTAAGTGTTCTCTTACTGCATTCAAATATTGTGGCGGAGCACCATCTTGCTGATACCACATTCTATTCCTTTCAGGAAAATTCACTGGTAATTGCGGCAGATTGTTTTCCAAAAAATGCAAATAAACAATTCCTGTCAAGGTAACATCAAAGAAATGCTGCCCTATTACATGTTCTCCGATGTTCTCCAATGATTCCTCCCCAAACATTTCTAGACCATCTATGCTGATTATCAACTTGCTCGAAGAAATGTGGATTTTCTGATGCATAGTGATGTAAATTATGCCTATTAACGAATCCATTCTAATGAAAGGTCGCCTCATCAGTGACCAATACTTTATTGAACAAATTTGCATCCTCTTGCATTTTCCCTCTCTCCCAATTGAAGAACTATAGACGCTTTTGAAAGTTCGCATTATTAACTTCTTGATGCAATTGAATGTGATATGCATGAAACTCTCTGACTGATGTGGGATCCTCAACTATCGCCAACATCACAGAAAACTCGTTTTCTTCATTGTTAATATTTTCCTCCGTTCCTTTGTTTGTATTGTACATTGCCGGTATCTAAAAACATTTTAAGCAAATTCTGAAACTTCTTGATATGAGAGGACCTTCTTCCAGGATACCGCTGGTGGTAAACTCGATCTAGTGGCGAGCAATTCCTTCCTGATACTCCCTCAACAAAAATCATATCGACAAGTTCTTCTTTGGAGAAGAAACTCATTTCGACGAAATTCGAATACTTGACACAAACGAATACTCGACTAGTGCGATAAATGATGAAACAAAACTGAAGCAAACCAGAATAATGTACGGGCAAAATACTTCCATACTGAAAACATATCCGAAACGGATGAATGAAAAGTGAATGAAATCACAAAGAAACTCATGATGTTTTTATAACAGATGAAAATGTGTATCGTTTCAAAGTTCAATAATTCAAAAATGGTTACAAATATCGATATGGATATTCAAATAAAAGATGTTCGTGTTTTGATTTAACATCAGATGGCCGAAAAATATATGGGGTGTTTTATTCGAAAAACTCGAGAAACCCTGTTTAATTTGAGGGCATGAAAATTCTTCATAAATATCACGCATCCTTCCATCGAATGATATTATGATAATTTTTTCTTAGATTTCATAATTGTGACGACAGTGATTTTTTCGGCATGCATCTGCAGATGACATTATTTCGACAATAAAAATCATAACTTTGATATGATCTAGATATAGTCAATAATGTCATGGATAGAGCTCACAGAAAAGCATCCAAAAATGTGCTAATATAAAGGGCATTCTATTTAAAGATAATTATCCCGACTCTAGATTTCTTCAGTGCGCCCTGTATATGCGGCAAAAATTTCTGGAGCATGTTGTCTCATTCAAATTCGTTTTTGAATCATGTTTCTAGCTCTCATAGAACTCGAGCAATCGAGCTCCGACGCACTTATACCCCACCCTGTATATCCATTTTTTTATGTTCATAATTTCATCTGAGAATATTCCTTCTCAATACTTTCACTCATTCAAGGGGTTCAAACTTGAACGATGGAAACTTGTTATTTTTATTGACCTTTAATTGCAGATTCGTTATTAGGTTTTCTCAATTCAGAATTTCTTTCCACGTCCTGTTTGATGAATATCAATTTGTCATACATCAAAAAGTATATATATTCTCGACATAAAAGCTCTGATTCAACAAATTTCGAAATTGATTTAATCATAGTCGATAAAAAATCTAAAGACCAATCATTTGCTCGAATGGGAACATAACAAACGATCATTTGAAATTATTGTTGTATTCTTATATTGCTCTGATGAGTAACTGGAAGATGGGCTAGCCGATTGCGAAAACCGAATAAAAAACACTTATGGGATCCATGAATAATTCGATTTTGAATGCTGCCTATATTTTTGACCACGACGTTTAATTTGTTGATCAGTTCAAATGATTGAAGATTAGGCAACGTCATATGAATGTTCAAGGTAGGGTTTGCTGGAGATGAGGATTAACATAACATTCAATCGATAGTGGTATTGCACTTTTTTCTTAATATCTTTATCGACATGTTTTCTTACAAAATTTGAATCACTTCACATATTGTAAAGGGTAGCTATCCTTGAAGTGAAGTGTATTTGTTGATATCTTAATATAGGCTAATTTTTGTTAGTTCATTTCCAGAAACCAAAATCCATTCAGCTGTATAACCAAATAGGAAACTTTTGGCGTATAAAAGGAGATGCTGGCAAAGCAATTGAATGTTTTCGAAGAGCTCTAGCCGCTTCTCCCCACAATGCAGAAGTCCTGTTGAATCTTGCCAGAGTTTTGTTCTCCTTGCAGTATTTAGATGATGCCATATACTTGACCAGGAGGTCATTAGAAGTGCAATCGTCAGAAAAAGGTTTCTGAACTCTCGAGGATATGGAATCATCAAATACCTGCAAATTTTTGTTGAAGGTGCGTGGCAGCAGTATTTCACTTTAGGAGAGATATTCAAGGCTTACGGGCACTACCAGGAGGCTTCTATCCATCTGAAGCATTCTTTGGAACTCAATCCAGGGTTTGAGCCAGCTCAAATAGCGTTAAAAGAGATGGAAACGATGCCCGCTGCCACAATACACATATATACGTTGGTGATAATAGTGTGCTTGGTAAGTTTGTTGTGGAATCGCGACTTCATCATAACCATAGTGTAAGGAGAAGATGGTGTGCCTATGCGCACTTTATCTGACGTCATCTGGGATACCAATAACAGCAGAACAGCTGCTAGTCAAAGACAGATAGAGGTGCCATAGGCGTGCGCTGTAAATTTAATTAGGTTTATTAAAAAATCAGTGAGTTTCTCCATCTTTCTCAGAAATCACAGAAATGATCTCATTATTATTCGAATGTAGAAAAGACGTTCAAACAATACATATTATGAAACTTTAATGATGAATTGGGATTCCTAAGCACAAAATCTATTGCTATCTAGATAAAATAGGTAGATTAACTGATCGAGATGATCATACATAATATTTATTATTGACGTTGGTGAATTTTGTTATTTTTTTGTTTAACTTTCTCTTGCAGTTATTGAAACTTATGTTTTTATTCATATTCCTAAGCCTTATATATGTTCTAGTCCTAACTAAACACAGAAGAACTTCTCTTGGAATATTATTAATTGAACCAGGGCATGCTGAAGTAACCATATCGGCCAATTTATTGAAAATGTTTCTTTCCTTGCAAAACGTGTTGTCATGGAGAATATGAAATTGGTTTTCCAACACTTTGGTTATCTCTATTAATTGTTCACTAGGGTAAATCAGATTTCCTCTCGACAGGAACTCAATCCAATCTGGACAATTAGATGATTTCATTTTTTTTGTTTCGATTCCTAAATCTATGTTTGGATATTTTCCTAAGAATCGGTGAGCAACATAACCAGCGATAAATTTCAACCCTTCATTCGTGATGGTATCTGAAAATGTATTGGATTCGAATGATTCTAAGAGGTTTTCGTGATCCACATCTATTTCAAAATTTGTTAAATCAAGTTCATTGAGCAGTGAATCAGATTCTGTATCATATTGCGGTTCAATGAAAGTATAATCGGCTACTATACCACCATGTTCTTCTCTAGATACACTTTCTTCGTCTGTAATAATACATATGTCTTGCAAAAGTGCTTGAGATAAACAAACATCTTCGTCACCAGTTCTCTCTTTTGTACTCAATGGTGCAACAAGGCAGATTTCATCAGTATCTTCTGTGTTTTTGTTCATGGAGAATATTGCCTTCGAATGTTTTCCCAGAATATACCATCTTAATCTGTATTTTAGATCTAAAGGTGTTGGATGGTCATTTGTTGCACCCATTCCGCGCATATAGGAGAAAAAATTCTCCAATACATCCTGATTCAACCTATGTGTTAATATATATTTCACGTCATATTTATCTGTTAAATAATTATACAGTTCCATTAAAGAATTATTGCTCAAAATAATTCCTCGTTGAAATGGAACCAGAGATTTATGATTTCCGACAGTCATTTTCGATATTACATGACTGGTTTGTTGCAAAATCATGAACTGTTTTTCCGTGTCCATACCAAATGCATTTTTGCCAGGATGAGATCCATACTTCATTTGAGAGTTATGTACATCAAACCAGTCATTTATTAATTTCATAAATGTACTTGTTTCTCTCCAGTTCGAATTCGAGAGGAGATTTTCTTTTCCACACCATTCTATTGCCTTTGATAAAGTATTGGAGAATATTTGAGCTGCTGGTCTTACCTTCTGGCGTTCACTTCCTTTAACATTCAAATGATATTCACTCACTTTATGAGCAATTTTCAAATCTCCTTTTGAATATGCCAGAATCTTTTCAATTGAAGTTTTGTTGACGAATTTGCCATCCATACAGAACCCCTGATCAATGAAATGGTTTCTAGTTAATTTCAATAGATGTGGAACATCAGCAAAAACGAAGACTTTCTGTTGTGGAATGACAGGGTGCGGAAAAAAACAATTTTTGTCATGACCAACACCCAATTTGGACCACAAAGCGACATTGCTTGTACCCATATCACTTGTGATCGACACAACTGTATAACCAGCGTGATGTAATTTAGATATAATGTCCAAAATAGTTTCCTTGGTCATAGGAGCATCAAATTCATAGTAAACAGGTTGTTTCCAAGGTGAAAACAACCCTCTTGCCATAACAACTTGACATGATTTATAAGAACCTAAAACTTGCTGCTCTTTTTGATCAATGCACATTTTATTCGATATGTAGACTTCATCGAATGAAATAACAGTCAGACGTTCATTTGTTTTCAGTGAATTTGCTTTTTGTCGCATCAATTCTACAATATCCTTCAATATGCCCTGATTCAAATTCAATGTTGAAGCCCATCGTCTCAAAGTACTTAAAGCTGGAAGCGGAAAATTAATTTTTCGAAGATATCTATAGGCCTTGGGGCTGACACTTCTGAGAGAAATAGCAGAAGATATGTCATCGTGACCCCAAGATTTGATTTTTTTTCCAGGAGACAGCAAGCGATTAACTTGTCCTGGTGTAAACAGGCGTTCGAGTGCGTTATTAATCTTGAGACATTTCCTGTTCAAAATTTTCTTTTCTTCCTCTAATATATCAATACGAAATTTCAAAGTTGTATTTTCACCAAGAATCGATTCATTCTGCGATTTCAGAAGATAGTTTTCTTTCTTCACTAGTACTATTTCACTACGCAACGTTTCAACAATCTTCTGTAGTTCATTGCTGCAAATAATTCGATTCATATAAGTACCTACCTATTCAAATATCTGCCCTTTGATGATGAATTTGTGATCTTATTGCGGTAATTCGCAATCGCAAATAGCAAATTATACATACGAATTATGCATAGCCAATCCCGTTGGATGTTGCGCCACTGTCTGAATAATTCTGACAGATTCAAATTCAGAACTTGACGTTGACATGGCTTCTGCTTCGACATCGACAGCACCAGAACCAGAAGTATATTTTGCCGTTTTGCCATTCAAATCTTTGCTGCAATTTATATTTTAGAAGATTATGTGGTTTTTAAATTGATTTTCCTTTATGTTTAACCTATTATTAGACGGCAGATGTTCTGTAGGAACGGCATCTTGCTTCAAATATCTGTGATTTTTTGGGGGTATGTAATTTAACAGTTGTATTTTCAAACTCATTTGAAAACATCTTGCATGAAAATGTTTGGAACAAATACGTGCTGCAATATGAATGTGATTATGTGATCAAAGGATAGGTCACAGGAAGGAGGAATGAGGAATAAAAGGTAGGTACCATTATTTAAGTTAATTTTCGGTCGGCAGCAAGCTCCCACCCATTGTTTCATAAGGTCTTCATTTTTGGGAAATCGAAAATATTTTATTTCTGTGCCTTTAGTATATTTGTTGGAATTTCCACAACCAGAAACGACACAAGTAGGCATTTTGAAATAATTTCATTCAATTTTCGATCTAAATATTTGAATTTCGACACATCGATCATGGAAAACAAATAATGACAATGACAATTATATCCCAGCTGACGTCATGCGCAGAACAAGACGAGTTTTAGATTTCTGTCGAGCACACCATCTTCTCCTTACACTATGATCATAACCATCTAGCCGGCCAAGCAAATGTGGCTCCTGCGGTTCCGAAGCCGATAGTTCAGCAACCGTATTTCCCTTGGTTCTCACGATGTTCTCTGAACATTACAGGATATCCCTTCTCGTGGGAACCAGAACATAAAAAAAATCAAGAGAAAACAGGGGAACTAATACGTGTAGTCGCAAATTTTTGAATTTTTTTGGTGGATGGTAGGGGTCAGGGGAGCGTTTGGAGTTGATAAACAATTAATCATCATCATCACCATTTTCCATATCGAGTAACGGTGCACCATTCGTACACGTACAGGGTGGGCAAAATTGGGCGTTTTCACGGGGTATCTCAATAACTAAAGGAGTTATCGAAAAACATGTACGGGTTCAATTTTGAAAAAACCTAAAATGACGCATTCGGAATTTTGATATCTCCATTCGTTTCTGAGATACAGGGGGAAATTGAAAAATAGCCGATTTCGTTTCTTATTTTCTGAGTGCTTTATGGTGAGGAATATTGGAAATTTCCGAAAGTTTATTTATATAGTATGATGCCAACAAACCGTTGGCACTATTGGAAATTCTTTACAAGGTGGCATTAAAAAGATACGGCATCCAATATATATATAAAACGGTGCGCGAAGTAAAGCAGTGCGCGAAGTACCTACTTCGCGCATTGTTGTGTAAAATATATGAGATATTTATATTTCAACTTCATGGTCCTCAATCAAGCAAACATCCACGAAATCCTTTATTTCTTCAACAATAACTTTGTTCCATCTCTTGGAGCGTACGAAATAAGAAAATTCCTATTATGTTCGTGGAACATCGTGCGTACCTAAGGAGGATAGGGGGAGGCCAATACTATTTTTATATCAAGCTAAGCATATTTTTACTTCAGAACAATATTTTTTCACGTTTGTAGAAAAAAATTTGTTTTGCAACTCGAGCGCGAAGTACTTTGGTCATCTCGACTATTTTTTAACTCGGCTACGCCTCGTTCTAAAAATCAGATCTCGATCACCAAAGTAGCATTTCGCGCTCTAGATACAAAAATAACTATTTCAGACATTTTGAGTGTCGCCTATAACAAAAAAAAATGTGCCGGAGTCGCCCGGCAATTACCCCGGCTCTTGTTACGCTCACAGAACTCAAAGACCTAGAAGGCCAATATTGTTTTATTTGAGTGTTCCCTAACGTGGCTCGAACGACATGTGTGAGCATGCGCAGAAGAGAAGGTACTATGCCAGGGGCGGCTTCAGAATTATTCGATTACCAGGTTTCTGTGGCTACTTTGAAAAAGCATGACAGTGTGAAACATTTATATGATATTCATTATAATGGAGTTTTTATGATATTATTAGGAGTAATGTTTTCACGTATTTTTTTATCAACTGAACAGGGTGGTCCAGGACATACTAGCAATTATTCACTATTTGATGGTTCATCAGAAAATATAAGTCGGTAGTATGCAAATAATACTTTTTTCCGAAACGGTTCTTCAGGGAGGTACAGCTCTCCAACGTTCAGTTTTAAAAATCCTTTTTTATGCTATAATTCTTGGTT